GAGTTACCATTTCAGTGATGCTACTTGAGAAACAGCAAAATACATTGGATTTTACAGTGGTGAAACACAGAGGTAGTAGATCCAAGGTACTAAATGTTTAGACGCCTAAAGATGTCGATAGACACTTTCGCTGCCTGAGCTCTTAAGACTGTAATTTTCTGGGGCAGTGACTCTGTTTCTGTGCTTGTACTCCCTTGTCGTTCAGCCCGTTAGGAGCGGGAATGCCTCTGAAATGGAGATGGTGGAGATGATCACTCATAGTCCATGCAAAAGAAAAAAAAAATCAGTGCTGGGTAACTCAGTGCTAGCACAAAGAAACTCTCTATTCTTAAAAGGGTTTTGACACAGTGATGATGCCACTTCACTTCCTTAGTGAAAGGAGCCGTGGAATACATGCTAAAGGCAAAACTGCATAAAGGAAATTGGCATTTGAATGGCTTGAGTGCTTGAAATATAAATGAATGAGACAAGACCAGGCTCTGTTTCTAGAGGAATCAATTACCAGGCATCCTCTTGCTGCTGTGAAGCTCTCATTTGCAGAAGTCAAAGCTATTTTTGCTGGGAACGAAGATATTCATTGTTTGAGATTAAAAGCATCTTTTAAGCACCAAGGAGACGCTGAGAAATGCTGTGGTTTCAGGAAGGGCAGAAAGACTCCGAAGTTATTTTCCTTGCTCTTAAATCCACTGACAAGACTGATGTAGTGTTGGGCATGATTTGAGTTCCATAGAGTTGTACCTACAGCCAGAATGGTTTGGCAAAATGATCCATTGTGTATTAAATCTACAGATTCAAACAGTGTAGAAAATGTATGGGCTATTCAGCATCTTAGAATAGGAATTGGGTTGGACTGCAGAAAAATAAGGATCTGTAAAAGAAAATGGAAAACTGAAAAAGAAATGGATGATGGAGTATATTGATTGCTAGTGAATTTTTTACCTTTGCAAGGTTCTCCAGTGGCCTATATGAGCTGGTACCTGAGGATTTTTCCAATAGGATAAGTGTCTGATCTGCCACAGAAAGCACAAATATCTCTTTTTAGCATATTACCGAAATCTTGGAGACAGGTCAAGGGCTGACTTTACTGTGGAGACCCCATTTCCTTTATCCTTCCAAAAATAGTCCTTCCAGGTGAGGTCTGAAGCCTCTTAACAGGATAGTGTGAGGAAGCTTCCTGTATTTGTCCAGAGGATGACTTTCTTTCACGTGATCGTTACTTTGTCATTTTTCACAAGCTCCAGATTCACTTAACCATCATGTGTAATGCTGCTGGCATCTGATATCTGTAGCTTCCCTTCCCATCTGCCAGGGATTTCATGCTTCTGACAAAACAGCTTTAAAATCGCAAAGACAGCCAAAATGTAGCCTAAAATCACACTGATCAAATGCTGTGGCTGTTACGTGGGATTATTATTTTTTTTTTCAAAAAAAAAAGAAGAATGGCTGTGTATCAGAATATGACAATATTAAAGGCCAATTATGTTTTCAATGAAATACCAACTGGCATCAATTGATGTGGGATCTTCTCTTTCATGGTGTGGTTGCCTTTCGGTTGCTCTCTGTTTCCACTTGTTGGGTCCATCTCTGGTTTTGTATGTCTTTATTTTTGGGCTTACTTGGTAAAGAAAAAGCATTTTCAGAAAATTTCATCAAATAAAATGTGCCTCACTGATGTCAGCTGAGGAAATCAGTGTCAAGAACAGGAAAAGCCAGAAGATGAATGGGTCTCTTAGTTCAAAATAGGAAACAGCTTGAAGTTCCTTTGGGGGGAAACAGAAACCTCTTTCATTAACAATGACATTATTTCACCTCTGGTGCAGAGTAAGGATTGTGTTCTCCTGGTGATGGACAGACAGATCGCCCGTTCATGCAAATGACCCTGAGCATTCATGGATACAAAGGAACAGCCCTAAAATATTGACAGTTTTGACTAGTGAACTATTCTAGTGATCCGTGTGTGGCTGAGACATAGAGCACAGGGAAAAACTCATTGTTTGTGCTCTCGACTTGATTTCATGTGCGTAAGGTGTGTATGCCTCCCTGTCTCATCTCAGTAGATGTCAAAGTAAATCTGTGTCACTGAAGTGAAGGATCTTGCCTGGATGATGCAGTATTCATTTTTTCGTACTTTGATATGAGAATGATGTCTGATCGAGGACTCATGCATTTTGTGCAGGATTTATCATTCAGATGTATCTGGGTTGCTTGAAGTTTTTTTCCTGGAGTTTGACAGTAACGTACATTCACCTACTTGTTTGTAGTCACGTACACAAAATGTTGTTGGTTTGTTGTTTTTTTTTTCCAATCAGACTAAGAGTAGGACAGGAGTTTGTGCTGACCTGTTACGAACATGCCCAGTTGCTCAATATAAAATGGTCAGTGGGATGTTTCTCAAGTGCCTTGATTTTCTGTTCCATTACTCCAAGCACCTTCCCTGCTTTCTGTTGGGGCTTTTCTCTAGCAGCCCGTCTCCTACCTCATGCTATTCTGAAATTTCTTTATTTATCTTAGATTCTGTCATTTTGCCTAAACATTGATATTTTCCAGAAATCAGCTTTTCAAGTGGAAATGCCTATTAACTTTCTGAAGTCATATGTCAGTGAATCACAGAACTGTTTAGTTTGACTAGACAAGTCCTATAGTGATACATGAGTTATTTTCTTCTTCAGAGTCATGCTTATGTTCTTTTCCAATGAGCTGGCTGTTTTATTGCAAAAGAACCTGTAAAAGAGGTAATTTTAAATGGGTATAAAATAAATTCTATTCTGTAAGGTACTCATAACATTTCTAGAAGATCCTAATTAACCTCCTTATGTTATCATAGAAAGGTCTATTGCATTTGTAATTGCCAAACACTTCTGGTTTTTTAATAGGAATGATTCCTGTCTGGTACCTATAGGCATCATCATTCACCAAGCAAGCTTTCCATTTCAGGATATTAGAAACAACAGTAGATTAATTGAAGTCTTCCACCAATTATCTTGCTTGTCTGTGAGGATTATGCCCTGATAACAGTAGTGACACAAAACATTTAGTGAATAAAGACCTTGGGGCACCATCAGGTTGGCTCCCTGTGCTGCCATAACGTTGAAATACTGCTGGACCACGGAGCAACAGTGATGAAGGTACCAAGTCTTGGGGGAGATGCTGTTTGCTGACTTGGTTGTGACACAGATTCGATGTGACCCTTTGCACATCTCGGTGCTGAGACGGCACAGCAGCCTTTAGGACGTGACACCATGGCCAGATCCAGGTGCTGCTCTGTCTCGTATCTGCCAGCCAAACTGCAGATGCTCGTTAGTGAAAATAGAATGAAGTCCTCTAGCAGAAAATCACAGATTATCCGCTGATGTTTGCACTGCACTGGATCGTTTTCATTAACAATGTCCACCTGTTTTGCAAAAGAAATCACAGCCGCTGTGTGCCTGCACAGCAGGGTCAGATCTTGCTCTTAGCACCGTAAATTCTAAATATGAGTATTTTCACTAGTTTCTTTACAGTCATCCTGATTTAAAATAAAAACTGTATTGCAGTTCCCAAGCTCAGCTTTGATGAATTGCAGAAGCAGGCTCTTATCAAGCAACTCAGGGGTTTTTTTCTGTTTTTATTTCTTTTTCCTGAAAAGAGCAGGAAGTTTACCATACTGCAGAGCAAGATGAATGATTTTGCCATTTGAGGCTGAATTTTCCAAGAAGGATTAGGATGTATTACAGTCCTGTAAATGCAAGAATCCTCCTTGCAAGCCTAGCATTTCTTTAGGATCACGATCAAAATTTGGTCTATAACTACATATGCAAAAGAAGAAAGAATTTCAAATTTGAACACTTCCATTCCTTGACAGCAGCTACAAATTTAATTGCAAATGATGGAAAATCCCTTACTCATAGTCAGAAATTATTATAAATGGTTTTGGTTCAATTTTACAGTGAATTGCTGTATCTCAATCATATGTTAAAGGGTTAAAAGAGAACGAATGCAATCTTCTTGCTTGTGCACAGATGTGCTAAAAGGTCACCAGCGTGATGGGAGAGAGATGTTTTCATCTGATAATACTACCTCTTCTTTTTGTCTCCATGTGTTTTCCTTCCAGCTATCCATTTCCCATGGTATTCAGTAGCTGCAGTAGAAAGGACCTGGAAAACAGCCTGGAAAAAGGAGTGGGAATGTGTCTGTTTAACTTGCCTGAAGTCAAGGAGTCCTTCGGCGGGCAGAAGTGTGGGAACGGCTATGTGGAAGACGGAGAGGAGTGCGACTGCGGGGAGCCTGACGTAAGACAACTCCTGAGAATACTGCTCACCTCCTGCCCGCAGGTTTTTCATAGAGTCGTAGAATGGTTTGGGTTGGAAGGGACCTTAAAGATCATCTCGTTCCAACTCCCTGCCCTGGGCAGGGACACCTCCCACCAGCCGAGGTTGCTCCAATCCCCGTCCAACCTGGCCTTGGGCACTTCCAGAGATGAGGCTTCCAAACTTCTCTGAGCAACCTGTGCCAGTGTCTCACCACTACTCTTAATCTACCCTCTTTCAGTCTGAGATAATAAAGAACTGGTTGGCATGTTTAAGGCTATTTGGTGTAAAACAAAACTCTCTTCTCTGCTTCTATCTTATCAGCTTAAACCTCAGAGTCCTCAGAAAAGCAGTGAGTCTGCTTGACTCTCATTTGAGTTGCTAAAGTTCAGGCAGGGCTTTAGTTAAGAATGTGCTGGATTCGCCTTTAGAGAACTCTCTCATGGCTTGTCCGACAGACTAACCACAACTAAACTGTCATGTTCCTAACAACAAAAATTCCTTTCAGTACTAGCTAATAAGTTAAACTTAAAATAAACTTGTTAACATCTCCCAAATTTCTCAAGATAGCGTGCATTAATTGAGGGCTTGTTTCCAAATATGAGAAGCCGCTCAAATATTAATGTAGATAGTTGTATAAAAACAACATTGACAAGGTATTTTTTTGTCTCAGCCAGCTTCAGTTTTTAGGTGCAAGACCTTTCCCTCCTTTACAGTGAGATTTCTCTTTGCCGCCAGCCAATTACCTTACTAACAGAAATAGCCTTTTCTGCCTCCCAAAAAGATTGCTACTACTTCAAAGATGATTCCATTTAGTTTAGTGAACGTATCAGAGGACTGCTCAGATCAGGAGGAGATAGGCAAAGCCTGGAGGTCAAATAATATCCGAGCTGACATCCTTATCCCGTTGGCATGCCGCACTCATTGGCTGCATTGAACTTCTCTCAGAATATCTGAATTAAATACATCAGCAGATGAGGGATTTGTTTCCTGTGATAAATACGGTTCTGTGGACAAAATAGATCGGGGCAGTTAACCCAGCGAGATATTGCTGTGTCCCGTCTATACAGTGTATCGGATTTACACAAGCTGCAAGGATTTCCTGACAGTTCTCTCATTCTTCAGGGTAACAAGGTTGGAGGAAGCAGGCTTATCTTCTTGTTTAAAGTCAATAGAGTGCAAGCAGCTTGCAAATGTCCTTCTAACCCAGTTATCTTTCTCATTCTCACTTCTGAATGTTAGCGATACCTTTTCAAGTCAAAGCCACTTAACGTCAGCAAGCACTGACTTGATTTGCCTCTTCTGTCTATGTTTTTCTCTTTTAATTATATTGGAAGAGTGCAGCTTGGGTCCAATTTTATTAGTTTGCAATTTACTGCTATAATCTGAGTGGAACCAGAAAACCCATTAGATTAGTTAATAATTCAACCGCCCGGCCATTTAGACCAGCTGAGTTTTGTCAATAGCGTTGCAATATTTTATGGCATGGCCATCTGGACAAGAACATATGCTCTTTGTATTTTTATCAGTGATCAGAATTAAATATCCGTCGGAATATGTAAGTGTAGGTGGTTGGCAGGGATATCTCTCCTTTAAGTAAAATATTAGCCCTGCATCGAGGTGTGTGCTGACAGGCATTCCTTAGCAGCAGGACAGCAACGGATTCATGGGGATGGAGAATCATGACTAACGCACATCTCCCACCCTTCAGACACTCCTGGAAATGCTAACGCAGTGGACACTGTTTGACCACCTCCACCCATGTCATGGACATCAAACCCTGGTCATCTTCTTGAGTGTCATGAATGCCCACATGCCCACCACCTGGCCAAGAGTGTAAGACCTGGCCAAGGATGATACTACCAATTAAGGTCCAACTTCATCTGGGATTATATTACCAAAAAATATCTGACATGCTACAGTGTCTGTGGGAGGAGGGTTAACGTAGATTACGTGTGGAAGGATAGGAGAAGGCAAAAAATTAAAAAAAAAACCTTTGGTCCCTGAGGACTGGAAGGAGACAAATGTGGCTAATTTTATAATGGAGGATCAGAAAACTGCAAGTTGTTAAATCAGAAGTCAGACAAATTACTTCCAAATGTAATTAAGAGCTAGTGCCTGAAGCTCTGACATGCCAGGGACGAGTCAACAACACGGCTTTTGTGCCACAAAACCTTGTCTTACAACCTATCACAGTGCTCTGAAGGACTCGACGAGCAAATGGAAAGGGACGATGCCATTCTTGCAGCCTGCTCGGAGTTCAGAGAGGCTTTAGACCAGCCTCCTCAGGACACCAAGCAGCTGTGGGACAGGACAATATTGCATGGGCCAAAACTGGATGAAAAATAGGAAATACAAGCAGGTATAAATTGTCTGGTTTAAGCAGCAGAAGGAAATCAGCTGTAATGTATCCTCAGGACTACACAATTCAGCATATTCATAAACAGCCTGGGAAGAGGAGTAGTCTTGAATTTGCTGATGACATTAATTAGGATGGTAGAGATGAAAGCTGGCTGTGAAGAACTGCAGAGGGACCTTCTGGGATGGCTGGACTAGGCATTAAAATGACAAACGGAATTTGGTGCAGAGTGATGCACATTCCAAATATCACATAGAAGATGATGGACTCTGAGCTGACTCCGACCATAGAGGAACAAGACTTCATATTGCAATAAATAGTCTCATGAAAATGTCAGCTCAGCGCTCAAGAGTGGTCTAAAAGGTAAATAGGCTGTTAGAAATTACTAGGGAAGAAATAGGAAAACAAAACAAAGCACCAACAGACCTCTATAAAACTGCAGTGTGCTGCATCTGAAAATGCATGTGCAGTGTTTTGCTGTCCCCTCCCTGATCTCAGGGAGGATAAAGCAGAATGAAAAAGGTTGAAAGAAAAGCAGTAAGGTGATTCAATGTTTTGGAGAGACTCTGACTGGAAAAGAAGAAAATGAAGGAAAAGCTGATAAAATCACGAGAGAAATGGAAAGAGTGAATAAGAAGCGTTTCCCCTTCTGACAAGAACTGTGCAAAGATTGGATATTAGGAAAAAATTCTTTACTGAAAGAGTGGTGAGGCAGTGGGGCAGGCTGCCCAGGGCAGTGGTGAAGTCACCAAGACGTGCAGACGTTGCACTTGGGGACATGGTTTAGTGGTCATGGTGGTGCTGGGTTCACAGGTGGACTTGATGATCTTCGAGGTCTTTTCCAACCTTAATAATTCTATGATCCTATTCTATGAAATGAAGTTAAAAAATAGCAGTTTTCAAACAAGCAGGAGATGCCCCTCAGACTGTGTCGGTTACTTGCGAGTTCCTTCCCACTGAAGGTTAGAGCTGCTAAAAATGCTCGTAGAGCCAAGGGAAAGCCAGGAGACTGGGAAGGTTTCATGCACGTGCTCACATTCTTGTCCTTAAGCATCTTCTTCTGGCTGCTGTCAGGGGGACACAAGGCTGACCTGATGGGCTCTGTCTTGTGTTCTTAGAAAAGTAGGCTTGAAAACAAAGATGTCCTGCCCACAGCATCCAATGATGTTGTGTAGGTTATGCCAGAATTGCTGCTGTGTTTGTCTGAGATGCTCCAATGAGGCCAGGAGACCTACACCAAGAAACCCAACCGCTGACATTGCTGTTGTTACTCGTAATGACTAATAATAATAAACTAAAACACGGCAGTCATTTTGGATGGCAACCTCCAGCCTCCGAAAGCCCCGTGAGCCTTTTCTGTTGGCTTGCCTGTTTATGTTAAAACCATTCCTGACAATTTAATAGCGCAGGCACAAAAAACTTATTTGCCGAGCTCTTCCCCTATGATGAGTAATAAGTGAGTGAGCAATTGGAAATTTCAAAGGCTGCAGTAGCATCATTCAAAGAGCTATGTCTGCGTCTCGAGCTGCCTGTGGAATGCCAATTGCTATCCTGGCTGGCTGCTGTAGGGCGAGATGACGGGGTACAGGAGCTGACTCTTTCAGAAGTACCTTAATGGGACTGACCTTGCTTTCCTCTGCTCTGCTTTCCTCAGATTGCAATTGAGGGGAATTTCTAAGATGTTCTTCTGCGCAGAGGGACATTGCTTCTTTGACGCAGCAGCTGCACAGAAATATTTGGGTAGCCTGCTGCCTTCCAGCACGATCCAAAATAGGTGCAGGAAGTCGTCCCACTGCTTCGGAGCAGCACGGATAGCTTTGTGTGTTCAGGCAGATATTCTCTAAGAAAGCAGGGAAATGCTGAGAATCATTTTGCTCTTTATCCGTGTGTGCAGTGGACACCCTGTCTTCCAGTTGGGAAGCTTTACAAAAGTCAATAAAGTAACAAAAGGCTGTGAACATCATTTTAACCCACTTTTTTCCCCTATGCTCCCTATATTGTTAGTGATCTCTTGTTAAGTTAAACTGACTTAACGCAGCTGAAGAGCAATTTCATCTGCTGCTGTTTTTGTTGGAGAGATGAGATTCCAGCGCAGCTGATGTAACTTGCAGCTTGTGAGCATAATCTTGGAAAAATAAATCCATTATTTTCTGAAACTTCTTACCAGCTCATTCTGCTGAGAAAAAAGTTTGCAAAAGCCCACACATGCCACCGTCTAAACCGTAAGTGTGAAATTGGGATGGATCAGTTAGCGAGAATGCAATTCATACTCATTTCATCTCTCGAAGCCCCATTACTGGCAGACCCTGATAAGAGATTATATGGAATAGTGTCATCGTCTGTCTTTGTGGCAGGCACCAGTCTCCACAAAATACTGAAGTCTGGTCAGCAGCTGCCACAAAATAGAGAGCTATAGTCGTGATGCTCAGTAACTGCAACACAGGTCCTGGATCCTCACTGGTGGCAATGAAATAATTCCACTGATTTTTTTTTTTTGGTGGAAATAAAACACCTTACTTCTGTACTGGGATTAGTATCCACATACTTGAGTTGTCTGTGATATCTGGGATTAGATCCATAGCTAGAATAAAGGAGCCTTCCTCAGTGACTTCTCTGGTTTTACTGCGATGATTGCACTTGCTGAATCGAAGGACAGAGAAGACTGCTTGGGATCAAGTTGTAGAATTTCATGCATAATTTATTATTTTATGCCTAGCTTTTCTTGGCAGAGCTATAGGCAGCCTCTTGATTTACAGCTCATTGTGACTGAAAGTTGTCTGCTCTAAATTTATCCCCCAACCAGGAATGTACAAACCGGTGCTGTAATGCGACTACCTGTGCTTTGAAACCGGGAGCGGTGTGTGCCCATGGACTTTGCTGCGAAGACTGCCAGGTGAACTGATGGAAACCATCTTTATCTCGGGGGAGTGGGCACAATTCCATGGTCTGCTGAACTGCAGAGCAGTAGGCAAGGATGAGGAACAAGAAAATTGGTATCACTAAGCGTTAAGAAACTTGCATTTCATGTAAGCAATTTTTTAAAAAATCTCAAATTTTAGTAGTTTCTGAAGGAGCAGATCAACAGACTTTTTTTATTATGTCTGTGCTATTCATAGCCACTCTATTTGCTCATGCAAAACCTCTTCTTTTACGTGAAGTTTTGTATGCTTTAATTTGTTTTTTCTTGTTTATATGGATGTGCTCTGGCAAGGAGTCATTACACGCTGGACCCTTTTTTTATGGGAAGACTTAAAATATTAATTCTGTCAACAGCATATATATTTTTAATGGCAGATCATCAGCTCCTGTGGACTCTTAATATAGTAGAAAAAGCCGAGTTGCCGCAGGTATTTACCTTCTTGTTCTCTCAGACCATCTCTTGCATGTGGGCTAATAAACCATTCAGCAAGTTTTCCATTGTGTCTGTGGCAACCATCTGCCTAAAAGCTCAGCAGCAGCAGCAGCAAGCTATCAAAACAACTAGCAAATGCTTTTTAGCAAAATCAATCTTGATGTCTTTTTTGCCTTTTACCAGAGGCGCTGCGGTGATGGAGTTAAAATCCAGTGCTGCTCCCTGAGCACACCCATCTTTTGTGGTTGCTGTCGATTGTGAATGTTCTGCCGTTACCTACTAGTGGCCTTCAGCTCTGAGAAAAATGTAGTTACCATGGGAAATCAGGACAGGAGCAGTTACATGGACTAGTTGCATAAATAACAGGAAGAAGAGCTTGATGCCCATAGCAGAGTGGCGTTTCCATGAGGAAATGTGTCCCCATCCCAGGAGCTGTCAGGGAGCTGGTTCCAGTGTCAGGTGGGCTGGTGGCTTCATGAGCCGTAACATAACCCATAACATGATGTTCCATGAGCTGCTGCTCACAGCTGTGTTGTTACAACCACATTTTCTGATCGGTGCTACAGAGCATCCTTTGCACCACAGCCCAGATGTTTGTGTGCCTGCGCATTTGGACTTGATTGCAGGGGGCACCCTTGAAAACTTGGGGTGGAGTTTGAATACTCTGGGTTTACCTTCTGACCTGAGTGACATGAGCCATGTTTGCGGCTGAAAGTTCAGTTTGGCCCTCCTCCCTGCCCAAACCCTTCGCAACTTGCGTCAAACAAATGTATTCAAAGAGCTGCATAAACCTTGCACCATCCTCTGCGCTCAGCTGGTGCAGGGCCAGCGGAAAAAGCCATTTGTGCGCCACGTGGGTTCTGCCGCTGCATAACTCTGATTGGAATTCCAGCAGTTTAAAGGGGTTTGTTTGTTTTGCAGTTAAAACCAGCAGGGATTTCTTGCAGAGAGTCAAGTAATTCCTGCGACCTGCCAGAATTTTGCACGGGAGCCAGCCCCCACTGCCCCGCTAACGTGTACCTGCACGACGGGCACGGGTGCCACGGGGGGGACGGCTACTGCTACAATGGCATATGCCAGACCCACGAGCAGCAGTGCATCACCCTCTGGGGCCAAGGTGAGTGTGAGAGCCAGGGGATCTGCTCACGAGGTAGATCTGGGGGAGAAAAAAAAAAAAAAAGTGAAAAAAAAAAAAAAAAGTGGAAAAAAAAAAAAAGAGAAAAGAGTTTGTGATTTGGAGGAATTTTAAACAGGACTCAATCTGTTTCTATTCTTCCCTGAAGCGGAGACCTGAATAATGTGGGAGCTGTTTTGTGATTCATTCTGTCTTTGATTTGCGATCGTGTTCATTTCTTGCTGCAAGAGGTAAAGAGCAACAGTAACGAGGTTTGTTCTGCAAATGTCTAGGTGAACTTAGACAAATCATTTAGCGCTGACTTTGATATGGCCTTATGTCATCCCACAAAGTGCTGAATGCTCTTGACAGGTTGAAATCACAGCCCTTTTCAGCCTGATGTGTAAGCTTCCCTCTGTGCTCTAAATTACTAAAATCTGCAAAACATATATGGCTGTCTACATCCCAAAACAGAGTTCACTGTTTGATGTTGACTTGCATCTCACATAATAATACAGGATGCTCATATCATTGGGTGTATTTTATTAATTGGAGTTACCCTGCAAGCCTTCCTAAGCAGTGTTATTAGCAGAGTACACACTGAAGCAGAAAGAGGTTTCGTTCTCCCCTGGGAATTTACTTACTTTTTGCAAAAATCTAATAGCATGAGTTCTTGGTTTATTCAAAATAAATGATATCCCAGGAAAACCGTTCACCTTTCTCTAATGTCCTGTGGCCCTTCCACTGAAATACAAGTGCTAATTCAGCATTTTGCTATTGCCTCCTGCGTCGCTGGGAACAAATCAAGTCTTCAGCACCTCTTACCCCTTCTCTCAAACGGGAAAACCACTTTTACCTCTCTTGAAGTGAAGCATTATCTAGAGCTAGATTTAATTTCTTTTAAACTACCTTTTTCAGCTCCCTTAGCCTCTTTCTATTCAGTATCTCTCTGCTTTCAACTCTGTTTCAAAACATATGTATCAATATAATGACACACAGATGTTTCCCTTGGTCAAAACCCTCATCAGAAGTCTATTGAAGAATGTGTCCGTTATCTTCACAGGGACTTGGACTATTTGCAGTTTTTGTTTCAAGGAGCATTAAAGCATCTCAGGAAATAGTGCCGCTGATACAGATAGCAGGTTCGCTTGGTCATGTGGGGATAAGAAGATGTCAGAGGAGTTCCAGTTGAAAATTAAACTCCCCACGTGGAACAAACCATTCATCTGATATACTTCTCCGAATCCCACTCGCATCGTAGAGTTAATATGAGCTCATACAGGCATGTGCAATTACAGCCTCCAGTCTTACTCATTCTGGGATTTTTAATCCCCTGGATACAGAGACATTTTCTCTTGTATAAAGCAAAAATCTCCTCACGAACCAGTTTCCCATGCCGTGGAAAGTTACTCGGTCAGACTGTTAATAATTTCAGTTGCTGAGGAAAATTCTGCGAAAGGTCAGGGAGCTGAATTGCTGCAGTTCCCTTGCCAGGTCTGTGTCCTAACGCAGCAAATCCTGCAAACCCCTCCGGGCTCCCCTAATTCTTTCTTTTCCTCCTTCCTGGGACTATTCAATATGGGCACTGCTGTGCCTGGGGTCTCCAGAGGTCAAGGCTGTGGGAGTCTGCTTATAAGAAAGATGACTTTGTCAAGAACAGATCTCAACTAGGCTTTAACGGAAATCCATTTTTTTCCTTGGAAATGGCCAGGGATAAAGATTTTGAAAGGGAGGATGGGACATTACCAAACCTAGACTGAAAGGCTTGATTTTTATCACATTTTTGGAAGTGTAAATTAGAAATATTAACAGTAAAGCAAACTTTCACAGAGTGTAGCAGGTAGGGTTCAAAAAAAACCCTAAAACAAGGCCTACATTCTGTATTTAAGGACCTGGGGTGCGAATACCCACCACTTGCTCACACTTTCATCTGGTAGGAGTGTGAGGTGGCAGATGGGAGTGGAATGGGAAGAGGGCTCTGTTGGCCATGAGATTTGAAAAATATCGTGATACAAAAAAACCCCAACAACTTCCTTTCCAGCCTTGTTTGCAGTAGAAAGAGATAGGATATTCTAAGATGTTGTCTCTGGACTTTGTATCAAAAAAGACAAATTTGAACCTTTTACCAAGTTATTGTAATTGGTTAGGGTTGGTTTAAACAACTGGGTGTGCTAGAGTGGAGTGAAGGAGGAGTTGTGTGCTTTTTTGAAAAAAAAAATCTATACTGTAAAGAAAAAACGGATAATGGTTCATTTACAGTAGTTCCTTTTTTCTTCTTCCCAGTAGGAGAAAGTCATGTAGAACAAAATTCAATCTTTTTTTTCAGGTAATATTCAGTATATTGAATTCTTTATCAGTGCCTTCTTTTGTATATCTTTCTTTATTCATCAGGTTACAGACGTCCAGTAGCCCAATGATAACCATCAATCTTAATATTTTTAGATCTAGTTACAGAAAAATAATGAGCCCTGTCAGAGCTTGTTTATGTTAGGCTGAGCAACAGGAACCCGTTACCAGAAAGAAGTACTTGCATTTCCTTGTGAGTTTTTTTGTTACTTTCCACAGATAAGTTCAAATCAAATAGAGGAGCATTTTTTTTGCTATTCTCTCTCTGCAAAAGCATGGAAAGTTTGGTGGGAAAGAGGTGAGAAGCACCTGGGGGCAGTCACTGGAAATAGCCATAAATTCCTCTTGAAGACCAAGTTCATTCCAGGCTGCTCCTAGAACACAAAACTTACTGCTCTCTCACCTTCATTCATGTCATTTTTATCATTAAGGAGCAACGTGCATGAATTGCTTGTGAGCCTTTTTTGTTTCCTACTCAAAAATATCAAGGTGCACTGGTCTGACCTATTGATAGTGACGCAACATCAATAGTAAATACATTTTCTTAATGTCTGGGACTCCACTGGCATTTTCCAGGAGCAACTACATATACTGATAAAGCTACTTAAGAGAGAGAAATTATTGATTACCAAGGAATCGAAGATTCACAGCTTTAGACTCATGGCTTTTTCTCCATTGACAGGAAAATGATTCTTTAGGGAAGGAAAGCAGATGTTTGTCAGTGTGTTTTCCTATATTTCCCCAAGACGAAAAAGATTTGGAGAGCCAATGGTCAGCATCGACTTCGTAATTAGAACATACTTAAATTAGCTGCATAGACATAGCTATTTGTTTAGGCAAGAACAATCTTAATGTCAATATTTGTTACAAAGACCCATCACTGGTGTAAGAGCTTTGCAGTTTTTTCCAGGTACAACCCCATGGGCAAAAGAGATGGGCTTCCATCCAAGTTAGCTGACCAAACAATTGCTAACCGGTTTTTCTTTCCAAACATACTGATTTATCCAAGCGCTGTAAGGATTTGAATTCAGTAAAACCAAATTGGTTTCGATCACTACAGATTTGCAGCCAGGCCTTTCCTTCTGGAGATGTGAAAGGCATTAAGCTACGTTCTCAGAGCTCAGCATGCTCCTGAAATGCGAAAAATATCAGCTCAGCCCCATCACTCTCTTGCCCAGATGTAACAACAGGGATCTCCAAAATGAAGAGAGAGGCCAAGGGGAGCTTGTGGAAAGTTTGCTTTCGCTCATCAATGCAGTAAAACAAACTCGATGGGATATAAAATCCAGGTGTGAATCTCATGACAGAATTGTATTTTTATAGCTGTATTTATTTATCCAGTTGTTCACGGTGCTTGTTGGTATAGCCTGAGAACTCCAGCCTCTTGGAGGTTGTTCTTTCCCCCCCTGCACACCCATAAAAACTGTACTATTTATTTATTTATTTATTTTTAAATAAAACTTGAGGCAATGTTAGGAACTGAACTGAAATATCTTTCTTTTCCCTTGGCAGCCTGATAACGGGTGTTTCTCTGTTCTTGGAATCAGCACCATGGTCAGAAATTTCTTTTCAGGAAGCTATGACAGTATTTTTCTCATTGCAGCAGGTCTCGCACTGATCTGAAATGACACAGCATTTCCGTATCGCTTCCAAAAGCGTAGAACATCTCTTCTTTTGCAGCCATATAGGGCAAGAAGGGGGCTCATCAATATACACATTTGGAGAAAAAAACCCAGCAGTCTGCCAGCTGACAACTGCAGTGGTGAGCTTTGACCTTCTGCATTTTCAAACGGCTGATTTAATCCCTTGAATAAGGCTTGGCGTGGAAAGGCTGACAGGACCTTAATTACAGGGTCATGATACTGTAATTATCAATAGCAAAGTGAAATAAACTCTGCTCATCCTGCTCAAAGCACTTAATAACCACTAGAAATCTTTGACAAATTGTTTTGCCTTTGCATGTAGAGGTAGCAAAATCGAGAAAGACAGGACTTTCTGCTTCAGTTTATGTGGTACAATCATGATAAATGGGTTTCCTCCAGAAACACAACATTACAATTCTCTTCCTTAAGCATCCTCCGAAAATCTCCTTTCAACTTGGTAGCTCCATCTGTTCAGCTTCATACACTCTGATGTGTTTTCATCTATAAAAAAGTCCAAATATTGTGAGAAACCAGTCAGGAGAGAGAACAGCCATCTGAATCCCAAGAAGCAACGTGCTTTGGTTTGATACCAAAGACAGAAATCAAAGCTAGATTTTGGTTTCCAAGCCGCAGCTGATTGTTGGGTACCAGGTGTTTTCATACACAGACTGCTCGAGCCTGGCAGGGGAGCATTTTTATACTCCCTGAGATCTTTTTTCTTGTCAAGTATTATTGGTTGGAGTTCAAGCTCACTGTCTGAGCCCTGGAAGGATGTTGCAGATGTGTTCTTCTTCCTGCAGGCTGCTTTCCATCATGTGTAGCACACTTGGCTTCTGCATTCAAAAACCCCAAAAACCAAAAAAGGTTTCACTAGGTGAAACAGGAAGATAAATACATTAAATGTCTCATTATTTCAGTGAGATCCTTTTTTTTAAATAAGCGTAGAATCATCAAATGGTTTGGGTTGGAAGGGATATTAAAAATCGTCTCGTTCCAACCCCCTGCCATGGGCAGGGACCAGCCCAGGTTGCTCCAAGCCCCGTCCAACCTGGCCTTGGGCACTGCCAGGGAGGGGGCTGCCACAGCTTCTCTGGGAAATCTGTGCCAGTGCCTCACCACTCTCACAGATAAGAATTTCTTCCTTATATCTACTCTAAATGTGCCCTCTTTCAGTTTGAAACCGTCACCCCTCGTCCTATCCCTGCACTCCCTGATAAAGAACCCCTCGCCTTCTTTCCTGTAGCCCCCTTTAAGTATAGCGAGGCTGCTGTCAGGTCTCCCCGGAGCCTTCTCTTCTCCAGGCTGAACAACCCTGACTCTCTCAGCCTGTCCTCACAGGGGAGGTACCCCAGCACAAAGCTCCTGGCTAGGAATGAACAAGACCCTCAGCAATTGTGTCTGATCATGGTAGATGAGTGGGGGTTTATGGCTTTGGTGAGATGGGTCTGAGCAAGTCAGTCTTTGCAGATGTGGGAGAACACACAGTTTTACTTGACCTTTTGCTTGCAGCATTTTGTTTTTTCCCTTCTTTTCTTCCCCTTCCCTTCTAAAGCTGGTATAGTATGTGCACATGTTAATGTGTGTATTGAGCTGAATAGTTAATATGCCTGCCCTGGAAGGATGAGGAGGAATCTACATGCTGAAAAAGGAAAATTTTACTTTTGCTTTTTGCTCAATGCCTTGTCTGGATGCTTTTGTTGAGTTTTTGATTATTGCTTGTGGTTTAATGAAAAGAAGTTAAAGAATCCTGTGTGAGTCCCTTTTTACAGTTCCAGATTTGAGAAATATTCTGAACTCAGCAAGCTTGATGGTAATCTTCCCAAGAATTTCAAGCTCTTGTCCTGCTCTCCAGGGAACCAACAGCTTATATTCTGTTCCTTCTGTGCTTTTCTTTCTGAGTTTTCCAGCTTCATATGTAAAAATTTTAGAAGGAAAAGAGGGTGTTATCTTAAGCTTCTGTAAGTTTTATGTTTTGTCCTTAAGAGCATTAGATTGCTGTTCAGCAGTATATAGTATTAGTCAAGCTTCTGACTGTGAAATGCAGATAATTAATTGAAGCTTTAATCTTTGAGTTATTAAAGAAAAGATCCACATTAACTGAAAGTTTTACAATCATATTTGTATTTTCTTCTCCAGGAATTTGACCCTTTAAAAAAACCAAAAACCAACAAGCCTTCTTCCTCTTTGAAGGCTTTCGAATGAAGTCTTCAGGATGGTTTAAATAAATGACACGTTTTACTCTGAGTTAGAGACATATACACTTGGAAGTGGCTCAAAACATTTGAAGAAAAATGTAACATTACAGATATTCTGCCTCAAAGATCCGGGAACACTGTAGAAATGGTAGATTGTCAGCCTTTAGGCTATCACATCGTTTGCTGCCAGTTCTTTTTGGTTTAGTTTGGCTGATCTATCAAAAGTGCGAAAATGTATCTAGCGGATATCTGTTAAGAGTTTCAGCCAGTTTATCTCCTTACCACCTTGTCTCCTCAAAGCAAGTCCGTGTATTGGAGTAGCTGAAATGCTGGCAATGCCTTGATTGTGCTATTAGTTATCTTCATGGGAAGAAAATACAGGGTAGTAAAGGGCCCTAGCAAAGGGCCTCTTAATCTTGTGAGGAGCAGCAATTACTGGCTGGAAATAAAAGCCACACTTCACAACAGAACAAAGGGATTCAATTCTAATACATGGCCTAATTAATCATTGCAACAAACCAGGGCAGTACATCCTCCACCTCTTACACATTTCAGATGAATGCAGGTGACTTCCCCTAGAAGATAGTCAACAGTTGGTCATAATCCAGGGAAAAAACGGACAGGAGATTGTCTGTATAAGGCATTAGAAAAGATGTTCCAATAGTACCTTTTAACTTCTGAAACATAGGGATGAGTAATCTGCCCGCACAACCATTTCCAGTACTACTCCCACCGGGGAAGTTCCTTTGCTGTTAGGACATGTCTCCATCATAAAAGACTACAGCAGATAAGAACCAGATGCTGCCTGTCTTCCCAGATTCCTACTTCTACCACCACAGTAGAAATGGCCCTTCTTTCAAGTGAGTCTTTCCTCTCAGAAGTGGATTTACTGAGAATTCAGGTGAGGATGGGTTCCCTTCCTCTCCCCAGCACATTAGCATGAGCTAACAGCAACGCATTCTCTTTGCCGTGTCACATCCTTGTGTTTTCACGGGCACGTAGCACTCTAGTGTGCAACTGGATTTTTTTCTGGTTTCTTGTTGCTCTGAATTGCACTTTAAAAAGGCCTTTCTTGAAAAGTATTTTCTTTGGCTTCAGCTCTTGGGGTCTCGCTAGAATCACATGGACTCCTGTAAAAAGACGGGAGTTCACTGACCAGCTGGCCTTTGTCTTCCTTCACCAAATTAGATTTGGCATTTGCTAAAGGTTTTTGTGACCCAGGAGGATTCACAAGAGGGATATCATCTAGAGAAATTCTGAGAGAGAATGACTCCCGCTTTGTCTATTACTCAGCATTGCCAAGAGAGACAAATAAGGATGGAAAACCCACACACTCAGGCTCTCCATTAGCATGCTGCTCCAGCACAACTCCTTTGTTGCGCTTCATCAACATGCAGGTCACATCCTCCCTTCCCCTAAAGCATCAGCGGAGCTCAAAGAAAATTATTAAAAGCACCTTGTCTGATGAGGTTTTGTTTCAGGTGCGAAACCTGCTCCTGGGATCTGCTTTGAGCGAGTCAATTCTGCAGGCGATCCTTACGGCAACTGTGGCAAAGACTCCAAGAGCTCCTTTGCTAAATGTGAACCCAGGTAGGGTCTCTCCCTACAAACACAGGAGCAGGTGCAAGGGTGGTGGGAGAGGGCTTTGCAACGTTTAAAACCACTTTGCTAATCTTTGGGTGTGTTCATTTCCTTCAGAGACGCCAAATGTGGAAAAATCCAGTGCCAAGGAGGAGCGAGCCGACCCGTAATTGGTACCAATGCTGTTTCCATAGAAACTAACATCCCACTTCAGGAAGGTGGCAAGATTCTGTGTCGTGGTACCCACGTGTATTTGGGTGATGATATGCCCGATCCTGGTCTTGTGCTGTCAGGAACCAAGTGTGAAGATGGAAAAGTAAGGTTCTGACCTCTCCCAAACAACAAGAACATCACTACCCTCGTGCTGCCAAGTATTTTGTACTAAACTTATTGGGTTTTGCTCTGGGATTATTTTTTTCCTCCCACAAGAGAATTGTTTCTTGTGCTCACACCAAGACAGATTTTTTACTCCCTTCTTCTTTCAACCACTGGTTTTTTTGAATGACAGGTTTGAAGGTGCAATGCAAGCGCTTAAATTTCTAACTGATTTTTTGAGGACAGTCCCAAGGATCCATCCATGTAGGCTAGAGGTTTTCTGCAAAATAACTACCCCAAAATACATTACAGGCTTCGCAATGAATTTCTGAGGAGTTCCATGTATTCACTTTCCCATTGTCTATGCATTGCAAAATTGTCATTAACTTCACTTTAGGTTTCAAAATGTATTATGTTTGCTGTATTATTTCTTGCAGGAAAAGCTATCTCTGTATGTACTATTAGAAAAATATAAACCCATTCATTTTCAGCCACCAAAACTGATTTTTGCAATCATAATTTGCAATCTTTGTGAGTTACCCGATGCCAGCGTAGTCCAAATTTCATATGACTGTCTCATTCTAAGTGTTTCTTTTATGAGAAGAGGAACAGAGAATGATGGGAGACAGTCACGTGTTTACAGGGGCGGGGAATGGAAAGTAGTCCAAGAACTATTGAAATGAAGAAGATTACCATATGCTCAGTGGACTACTTGAAAAATACCCCCCAAAAAAGCATTTTGATAATTTCTGGTACATTCAAGTGAGCCTCTGGATTTCTGAACGCTTTTGAATTACGTTGGATTATCACACGGCATTTGCAACAGGTTTAAAATACGTCCCCGGTGAAATGACAGCTCTGTTACAGGGAAACAACCCTTACAACATTTCTAAGTCAGTCTGTTATAAAATGTCTTTTCAAAGAAAATTCAATGCTGGCAAAGCACCCCATTATGTTTTACTAATGAGTATTTAATCTTTCTAATCTATCTAATCATACACATACACTCTATAGAATACACAGGCTAATACTTATGAAATTGTATGTTTTACTTTGAGGACATTAGTGCATTTGTATTATGGATTAAGAATATGAATTTCAATATTCTTGAGTTTTCTAAGCTGAAGATACACCATTTGAAATGCAGCCATTTTAATGTGATCAAAATTCTGCGTGCTACTGCACTATGAATATTTGAATTGTGAATACCGCTGTAATCAGACCATATTCTCTACATGTGTGCATGTTGATGCCAATTCACTCTAATTTCCCTTCCATTTTTCCTTCTCCCCAGGGCATAAGTGCCCTGATTAAGCATCCCTGTTGTCTCCTTCAACATTATTCCCTGCTTAATGCTAATTATTGTGACTGACTTTTAGTACTACTGAACTGAACTGCAGTTAAACATGAGCAAAATTGTGCAGTGATTTTTTTCCTTTTTTTTGGTCAGTGTAGCATAGTAACAGCTATTCCTGTCCTAATTTTTTTTTTGAGTAGGATAACATCTCATTACTGACATCTTCATCTGTCATGTGTTGGTGTTATTAGAGGGTACTAATCTTGGTTTACCTCAATTTTCAGTTACATTGGCAGAGTAAAGTTTACCTGTAATGACTAGAAAACAAAAAAAAAAAGTTGGATTTTAGTTCTTTGCATATGTTGTTTGTTTACTTCTTTTCCTATAAGAACATTATTACACTTTAAATGTAGTTGGTTTATATCTGACACCAAAAAAAAAGAGAAATGTTTAGCTTGGGAAAATTCTTATACAGGTCTCAGTTTTGCTGAGGAACAATGATGAGCCCATACATATCAGTGAACTCAGCTAGATTTTCAGGCTGTCCTGGTTCTACATTCTGTACTAACGTGAAAAATATTGCACTATTGGTATAAACAGAACTAGGTTAATTTACACCACAAAGGGACCTAAACCTTTCCTTGAGGAATCTTCTGTTCTGAAGATGAATGCAGCCCAGATCAGGTACATGGAAGAATCCCGCTCAGTGCATTCATAGTCCTGAAAAAATGCAAATTACTCTTTTTTAAATTGGCTTTAAAAAAAAATAAAAACAAACCCCAGCGGCTCACCACGAGTTCCACTTCAGTGAAACTGCATTTATTTATACAAGCTCAGCATATCAACCCAATACATTTGAAATTCAGCTTTGGCCAGGATGCCAATGGAGAGCAGAATTCAACTTCCCCAGATTTGGACCTAAAAGGTGTAGAAAGGCACGAGAAGAAGACACCTAATTCTGGTGTCATCACCTTTGTGCCAGTGTAACGTTGTCGATGCACATGTTGGAAGATCTTTAACTACTTAAGGACGCATCGATGGATGAGCAGCCATAGAGAGAGGGACGTGATGCCGTATGAGCACCATCACGTCTGTCTGCATCAAAACTCCTTTTCTTTTATTTTGCAGATTTGCCTCAATCGTCGGTGCCAGAATACAAGTGTTTTCGGTGTACATAAATGTGCAACGAAGTGCCATGGACGCGGAGTAAGTATTACAGGAACACTTTGTTTGCCATCAGTCAGTAACCACTGAGCAAGAAATCATTTTATGTAATAGCTTTGGGATCTGTGATTGCTTGTAATCCATCAGTCAAAGTCACTGCAATACTTTTTTACTATGTATTTCCATTTTCAGTGTCCCTTATATGAACTGCAGGAACCGAAATTATTTTTGGCCAAGAAGTATTTATCAAGTAGTAATTACCCTGTTCTTAATTAACAGTCTGTCATCTTCAAAGCAATTTTAAGTCTAACCTTCCTTCATGAGAAATTCCCATTAACATTTCAAAACAGACGGTTTCTGTGTGGATACACAGAAGATAAAACATGCATTTGAACTGAGAGTCAAATGGGAAAGCATTTCCAAAAGTATTAAAACAAAATCATATTGTTGAGTTTTCTCGTATGGAAGTGGTGCAGGATGAAAAAAAATGGATGATATCAGATAATAATATCAAAATGTTTGGAAACCCGATTTATATTATGAAAATGTTAATTAGGTCAAGCTATGCCTTATTAACCTTGATTTGCTGATGAGCTGTTTGTTTCTGCGAAAAACTCTGGCAATCACATTGGAAGAGCGATAGGAAATCCTCTCTCTTCTCCTGAAAAGGGTTTTTAATTTACTTTAACTTACTTGTTAAAGAAGAACTGTGCAGTGTCGGTGGTGCTGCAGCGTTACATCTGTACCATGGAGAACCTCTGGTAACTCCTGAGTAGCAAAAAACAATCTCGTGAAATTGTAGATGGGAACTCCTGCAGCTCTTTAATTTAAAAGATAGTGCTTCATGAAAGATAATTTTAATTATCTTGCAGTCTCTGAAGAGTAAATCTTTTTTACATTTTTGCATTTTACATGACCATAGCCAGCCCATAGCCCAGTGAATGATACTTCAACAGCATACAGACACAGCCAGTGACGTCCCCCTGACCGCTGCCAGCTGACCTTGCCTGTTTGCACACTCCTGTGAACTAACCAGTGTCTTACTGAGACGTCTGTTTATTAATCTATTGGGTGGTCTCTCCATGGCGGTGGTAGGTCAGTGATGATCAGTGTTAGCACAGAATTTAGGACCATATTGCCAACTAGCCCGAAGCCCACTATCTTTATTTAAACACCAATTTGAGCACCTACGTGTGCCTGTGCCATTTCTGATGGCTGATCTCGAGATGATCATCAAGATGATCATCAAGATGATGGAGTCCAGCCCTTTGGAACTAAGAGGCCACCCAGACCTGACTCAGCAGGGAGCACTTGGTAAATCAGGTCTCACCAAATGTTCCTTAACTCGGGTTAAACCCACCAGAACAGTACAGATTGTATCTTTACAGACAGTGCAGGGGCGATCTCAAAGGGAGGGTTTCCTCAGCCCTCATTCCAGTTTCACTTGTTATTCCAGCAACTCATTCGTCTTAGAGCCATGGCAAAGGCAGCCTAGTGCAAGCCCATGGTGGATGGGAGTGTTCAAGTGGGCTGACAAAGCTTTATAGCCGTAACAGCATAGAAAGACTCTTGTTCCTGTGCAGGCAGAAGGAACAGAAGTCGGGAAGCAGATACTGTTGCTGCTGGAGGCAAGGAGAGCATAAGAGTTGTGCGATTATCCTCACAGTATTGAAGCTGTCAGCTGGTGCAGCTCAGACGATTACCTGCCAAACGCAGAATGCTTTTTTTTAGGCTCCCTGTTCCTCCACGGCATCTTGCACTCTGAGTTGCTCTGTGCCATGGTAGTTGAGACACCAGCACACCTCTTCCGTAGGTTTTCTTCCCTTCAGCTGGGTCACTGTCTGATTAGGAGGCCTTACCTGCCTGCGCTGCTCCGCACTGTGTAGGGTAATCCTGTCCACGGAAAGTCATTTGTCTTGTTTTGCAGGTCTGCAACAATAAAAAGAACTGTCACTGCGAGGCTGACTGGGCGCCCCCGTACTGTGACAAGCCAGGGTTTGGTGGCAGTGTGGACAGCGGACCCATTAGGCAAGCAGGTTAGTACTAACTCATGCTTTACCTGTTGCTGCCGTGCTAAAGAGGGGACATAAAAAGTGTCAGCTCGCAAGCAACGAGCTTGCAAGGTTGAGAAATGAGTAAGTAACATCAAACGCGCTGGCACCAGCTTGAAAATTCAGCAAAGCAACACCGAGGCAGGCTGAGTGCATCCACAATGAAAAGCAGAGCTGTCCTGGAGGCTTCTTTTCTTCACCTTTTTTATATTATTCTCATGTTACATGGTGAAATTCAGTGGCTGACTGCAATAAGTAGGAAATTATATTGATTTAAGCTGAGGATGAGGAGCTAGCTCCCACACTTGTGCTCATCCTGTTGCCATGGTAGATGAACGTTGCGGCACTACGGGGTTCACCTTGAGATACGCTCCAGTGTTTCAGGATAGAGATACCTTATTGTGCACACAACCTGCTCCTACAGTTGTGTGCCTAATGAAGAGTGGGTATTGCAATGATGATAAATGCAAAAATAGTGCGCAGTCAAAAATAAGAAACATATTTGACGCTGTTCATCCAAGGAGCATCTTTTGCGTTGTGGAAAATAGCAGATTTCTGAGCCTATCAGATTAAAATTACATTTTGTAGCTAGCTTCCACACATTTTCCAGAAGCTGCTCTCACATATGATAGAAGACTTGCATTTTCTATAATTTGTATTTCAATTTCCCCTCATTCAGTCTGCAGAACATTGGTTATAGTACCTTACTTCACCTTTGGCCAACCTCGAAAAGAATTATTTCTACAGATTGTGAATTTTATAGGATTTGATAATCATCACACGCCAATTTTCCTCCAAAGTACTGTAACTTTAGTGTCTTGCATAGTGATGTTTCTGATTTAGGGCTGAGTGTGTGACAGGACAAGCAGTCTTGTCTACATATATAAACTAAAGCTTGCTGGAAAATGATCTGCATGTTTTCCTGTGAATAGTGCTACACAAAACTGAAGTGGATTGTATTCTCTATGTGCCAGCTCCTGCAGTGACTTATAATACTGGATTTATGACATCATGGTCATTTGCATGACCAAGCTTTATGATTTCACTGCTGAAAGATCTTTTTTTTTCCTAAATACCCACCAGTTGGTAAGATCGCAAAGAAACTGTGCTCAGGAACTGAACATGTGTGATTCCTTGTGTGCTAAATGTTTTCTTTTAAGATTTGCTTGAAAGCATTATAGCCTTTTTTCGGCTTACCTGAAAGCTAAGTATCTAGGGAGCTACAAAATATACTATAATACCACGCTGCATGGACAGCACTAACTGGAGAAGACAAATACAGGGCATCTTTGATAATTCTTGTGTTCTGTGTTTTGGAAGCCAACACTTCAATGGAAGAGTAAATTGTTTTAACACTACTGTAATATAGTGGGGTAGTTGCATCATTTTTCTCAAAAGGCAGTGCTACGTTCAGTAACATAGGGAATAAACAAATATGGAATTTGCTAGAGGACCTTATTTTCTATTGCTGACACTTGGATTTAAATACGAACACTTGATGAGGTGGTTTGGATTACGACCCGAGTAGCTTGCAAACCTCTAAATCAAATTACAGGATTAGCTCAATAAAATACATTCATCTTAGTCAAACAAGGAACATGGTCCCATCAGTATTTAGTCACTGATTTTACTCACCTGACTTAGAATAAACTGTGTTTGACACTATATTTTTCTCACACAGGAGCCTTGATTATTTAATTCTTAGGTAGAGAGGTTAATGAATTTAAATTGCACAGTCTTATCTCCTTAATTTTATTAATCTTTTAGAGGTGAGGAGGGATTTTTTACTCTGCAGTACTCTCAGGTAAGAAGCGCAGCACTTCACGCCCCGGCAAACCCCACGTGCGGTTCGTTTGGTTGATGTTGCTGATTCTTCACCAGCATCCACGTGAGCTTAGGCCAGTAGATGAGGGCCAGCTGGCTGAAAATCACTCGGGAATAAAACTGAGACATTGATGAGAGGTTACCAGAACAAAGATGTTTCTCCTGCTGTGGGATGTGCATTTTTTAGGTCAGCAATCCTGAAGAATCCCGACATTCTCTCCTCCAGGCAACGCTCGTATCACATATCCCTACTGAGCAGAGCTGCTTCTTACCTCCTCCTAAAAATAAGGCTTGCTTTCAGCTGTAAGTCGTCTAGTCAGGGTTCATCTCACCATTGTGCCTCACTTAGGTCCCAGCAAGGTACTTAAAGCAGCTTAAAGCATTATGAAAACTGGAACGAGTACAGAAGGCTGCAGAGCAGCCCGTTGAGAGCACAAAACGCCCTTGCCGAAGGCTCTCCTCCTCCAGATCTGACATGACAGCCCTCTGGGCTAGACCACAGTAGCCCAGACTTCAGACCATTTGCCCAGTGTTAAAGCACAATGAAACCCTTAAAACCCTGTCATGAAGGAGCTCGGGTTCCTGCTATCCGAGGGACAGAATATTTAGAAGTTTGCATTTAACCCAACCATGCTCTGGGCTCTTCTGTCCCTTTTCCCTTCCTCTCCACCTCGGTCTCCCTCTCACCGTGGCACAGGCAGCCCATGAAGAAGGCTGCATTGGCTTTGCCTCGCTGGATTTTGGTGGCATTGCTCCAACCATCACCCTGGTGGGGTCTGGAAGAGGCCATTGGCAGGTGACAACCAAAACAGGACCTGAACAGAGGTGCAGAGAGGTTACAGGGAGATCTTCACATTTGGACCCAAATACCTGACTAGAATAGAAAAGAATAGTTCAGTTGGAAGGGACTTACAACATTATTTAAATGAATTTTTCCCCAATGTTAAAGAAATAACTTTAAAACATGTCAAAATTCAACAAACAAGACTCTATTAGTCTTTAATTCATCATTTATTCACTTCACCTGCATTGCAGTTGGAAACCCCGGGCCAGGCAGCAACGTCCAGCTCCATACACAACACATTTCGGCAAGGATGGCTCCTGGCGGAAGTTAATTCCATCCATGTGTTTTGTTGCAGACAATAAGAGTTTAACCGTCGGAGTGTTGATAACCATCCTGTGCCTTATCTTTGCTGGATCAATCATGTATCTGAAAAGGAAGACTTTCATGAAATGGTTATTTACAAGCAAAAAGACAACAATAGAGAAACTAAGGTATGATCATTTTCTAATATCTAATCATGATCTTTATCTAGTATTTAACAGATATTAGGGGAAAGGAGCTGTGAACACGGCAGCTCTCACCCTAACATATTCACAGAATGGTGTGAATATGTTAGAAGAAGCCAACCTTAACTAAAATATTCACCAGATAAAACCAGCAGTGTTTTCCCTGCTTTAGTTTCACTTTATTGATTGTCAGTAACCAACGTAGGTTTAGGTTTGGCTACATACCTCTGTTCTTTTGCAATAAAAAAGAAAATAAATGAAGAAGTGAAGGAAGTATTGCCTTTATTTTCATTTGCTTGAAATAGTTTCATTACATTGCATGGCCTTTTGTCTAAACCCAGTCAAGTGAGCTGAAACTTTCATATTTGAGGTCATTTCTGTTTAAATGCTAGATTCATTAGAATCGTCTCTTGGGTGTTACAAAGCCACATTCCCACAGATTGCAGAAGCTAATTTAACAGACTACTGGTTTCAAAAAAAAAAAATCAATATTTATTTTTATCCTTGCAGGAGCGCAAGACAATTTTTACTTTCCTTGTTTACTATAAAAAGTCAGAAAGTCCTTGCAAAATCTCATTCCGAGAAGAGGCTACTGGCTTTTTTTAAAAAAAAAAAAGTCAGTCATGAATCAGAATGTTGTGTTCACTAAATACACGTTTGCATTGCAGGTCTGTGACTCCAGCAAGACCTTCCAGTTCATCTGAGCCCAATCCTGTTCACACCACATCTCTCAGTAAAAATCTCATCTTGAAGCCACAGAATACAAATGTACAAAAAGTGAGTCCCTAAATAATAGATGTTTAATAATAGATGTTTAATATATTTAATATATGTTTAAGGGGCTGGTTAGCTCAGTCACTGGAGCGTGGCGCTTACAACGCCAAGGTCATGGGTTCAGTTCCCGTTTGGTCTCCATGTGTTGCCTGATCAAGTCGAGAGGTGGCGTCCCTGGAGACAGGGAGGTTGGATTAAATGATCTCTAAGGTCCCTTCCAGCCTAGGCCATTCTATGATTCTATGAATATATTTAATAAATGTTTTTTAAAAAAAGAAAGGGGGAAAATATTATATATTTTGAATCTCATTTAAGTAACTTTTATAACACAATTATTACATGATCCTAATATAATGTAGGGCTAACAATACATACAATGGGAAAAGATGTAGGCTTCAAAATACACTTATGCCTTCCAAGTTTTAAACAGGTGGAGATGTCAAGTGCTGAAAAGAAAGAGGTTAGCCTCCAGGATAGCCCAGTGCCTTATAGAGAACACGACGTTTTAATGGTGAAGGCTCAGGGCTTGAGTAGGACTCTGGAAGCTGTTGATTGCTTCTCTGGTTGCAGAGCTGTTGAAGGTGGATGAAAGAAAAGCAGAAGAGAAAAACAAGCAAGTAGAATTTAAAGCAACGATGCTTATGTCAGCTCTCAGAAGTTTCTAACTTTTGGTCGGGGTTGTTTTTCTAGAGAGACAGTCCAAGACGACCGCTGCCATATCAGATCATTGACATTAGTAACCCCGTGAAGAGACACGATTTGCCACAACTAAAAACACCGCAGCGAGTCCTGCCGCCGCTTCCCCAGCTGCCATGTCACCAAGCTGTGCCTGAAAGACCTTTGCCAGCTCACCCTTCGCTGAGGTTCGCCCAGGTAACTGTTGCTTTCTTTAAGCTCCTCTCCTATTTTATATTCAACGTGTGAGTGCCTGCTCGTGGTATTTCCTCATCTTTCGTACTTTTACACCGTATTTCCTTCATACTTTGCACAAGGTTGGAAATGCGTTGTAGGTATACTGATTTGTGCCAGCTGAGGCTGTGAACCTAAAATTTAGGATTCTGGACTCTCTCTTCACCACTCAAAAGACACAAGAGAATAAACAAACTCTGCAGTAGAGAGACACTGGCTCATCTTGCCCATGGCCCAACCGGAGGGGAAATGGTCCTGTTTGTTAGCAAAGTGCCAAACACAGTGATCTCCTTTAGGGAGTCAAGCTGCAGATATCTTGCTCAAGAGCAAAAGGTACATCAATAGCTTAATGTGCATCTGTTCTGGCAAGAGGTGTATGAATTGCCTTTTTGTTGTGTTTTTTTTTTGCACAGACCTGAAAAGCAGACTTGTAATTACCCACACAATTTCATGTAGACATACCTTTCATTGCAATGTTTAAATACAGCTCGCAACTCTTTCTTTTTTTTTTTAATAAGATGCATCTCAAGGTGATATTCAGGATAGATAAAATTGAGCAGTTTTCTATATTAAATTGACCCTTTTCTAGTCACTGGCTTCTCTCTTTTGGTTGCATTTGTAGCATGACTGCATCTAAGCGAAGGAAGCTGGCACCCAGCTATTTCTGTTTTGTTAGACATTGTCCTATTCTGGATGTAGTAAGAGATTGAAACGAGATAGCTTAAATGAGTAGCACATTGACTTGGATGCAAATACTCCAAATCTGTACTCAGATAACTCAGTCTTGAGTGACTGTGCCTATCCGAACCTTGCTAGGATGTCCAAGGTCAAAGCATCTTCTTCCTGCAGGAACCTTGTGAGATACCCTGAGATACTTTCCCGATGATTTATAGGAGGATGTGGCTACGAGAAACAGTGGCTGAAGTGCAGAGGTTTGACAAGTGCCTGTAAAAATAACACAGAAACAAAAAGGGATGAGACAGTGCTGAGCTGCCATGGCAGTGTGCTGCCATGTTACAACACTAGAAGTGTATCTAGGTTTAATTTTGTCTAAATCACTCAAGTTAGACACATTTTTATAAGTGTGGCCAGTTTATTAATTGCTTTCAAACTATTTAAGCTTCTTCTTCTTCCATCCGCCGTCTTGCTAGTCATTTATTTTACTTTTCAGAGGAATGGGAAATATTGATTCTCTCTAAAATCAGTTTTATAGGAATTCTGAAGTAGTATTGGGGTTGTGTTGCTTTTGTCTTTAGCTCCAATGGTTGCACTGTTTATTTTCTTGCCTTCCTTAAACATTCTACATATTTTACAGAGGTCAAAGATAAGACTTTAAGTGCAAGTGCTTTCCCATTTCTTAATCAAATGGTTCCATTAAACGAAAAAATATCTTCTATTTCTTCTTATCTATCAACGTATAAGCTTATGCTGTCTCCCAGTAGCAGGATACAGGTGGAGAAAAGGCTTTCCAACAAACAGTAACCATTTCTCATTCTGATGGTGCATCTGGATCTGCCCCAGCCTGTCGTCACACAGCACCGCTACCATCCACGTCCCTGAGTGCCTTCCCCTTCAAATCCCACGTGAAGTGCAAGGTAGAATACCAGCTCTCCAGGACTAGCATTGCTAAAGACTGATGGATCTAAAACTGCCAAAAAAGCTTTTCAGTTTGGCAGCTCAAATTAATTGCGACTGTTACTCCATCAAGCAAAATATCGCTGTTTACGATTTTCAGTTTCTACCTGAAACAGAAGTAGGACAAACAGGGGATCCACTCAAGGCAACCCAGTGAATAAGCAAGAGTGGCTTCTGTCAAAATGATGTCCATAATCTCAGTTCAAGGTTGTCAGAAACAGCTACTTTTTATACCCTAGGAATGCTGGAAACACTGCACTGGAAGAAAAACTTTTCTTCTGAAGTTAACAATTTTACTCCCGCAAAGCTTGGAGGAAGCAATTTAACTTGCGAGCAGTTTTGGTCTAGTTTATGTAGATCCTACTTAATGTCTTGCTCCAGCAGTCTCTTGGCACTGCATCCATCAGGTCATCAAGAGGAAGCACTTTAAAAATCATTGCTACTTTCAGAATATCATCCAGATGCTCAGTGCTGAAGAAGAGTGGTGTGAAACCATTCGCTGTTTCTATGGCTCCACAGCTGCCTCCTTCTGCATCTCCCTTCTGAGGGGTATATTTTAGCACGAGCTGCTTTCCTGCTGCCTCTGGGCTTTGAGCAGTGGATGGCTAAGGCACAACATACTAAGTGGACTTCAAAACGCCTCTTTTCCCCTCTAGTAGCTATTGAGACAGCAATGAAGGGATTGTTATTTTGCTATAAAGTTTTCCTTCCTGATGTAAGTAAAATAGTAGGGAAAAAAAAGCAACCAAAAAAACCACAAACAAACCAAAAAATCCTACCACTCCCCCAAAAAGAACACTTAGCAAATGAATGGTTGCCAAGTTTAATACTCAAAAAGCTTGACTGATAAACAGCTTTTTCTGCTTTCAGATGCTCTTGTGAGGCAAATCGACTATTTACAGGCCAGATTCACAGTCAATATAAATCAGAACAGCACCACTGAAATCAAGGCAGCAGTGCCTTGGGTTCAGTCCATGCATTCTGATTTGACCTCTTCCACTTGGTTGTGTCACTGTTAGCATTCAGTTGCTGCCTCTGATACCATCATCATCTTATTACCAAAATATATCTCCTGTTTTATAGGTTGTCCTTATTACAGGAAATACAGCTCAGTATTTTTACTTTTCCCCTAGTAAAAATGAGCTGGGCTCATCTTCTGCTCATTCTGCCGCATTTATTCTCGCTTATACCTCTCCTGTGTCACCTCAAAGTGGCTTTAGACACAGAGGGCTAGTACAAATTAAGTTCCCTTCTAAACAGATTGAGGCAGACACCCCTTCTCACCCAATGCATTTCAGACAAGAACCTTCTTCCAGCTGCTTATTTAAAAATCAGTGAAAAAAAATTAAAGCTTTTATGCACCTGATGTCTCTGCAGCTGCTCAGTATGAAAATTATGTTTTTCTTCCTAGCAGATCTGTAAAAAGAGATCATGACATTATTTAAAACAATTCTTCCCCCAGTAGAGATGGAGACTGAATGCCTTAAATGCTGCGTTGTCAATATAAAACTGGATAAAGAAAACCATCCGTAAACTCAGTATTGACAAAGAAGCTCTGTAGAGGGAAAAAATTGGGCTGGGAAAAAGGAGAGAGAGATGAAGCAGGGAAACACAGCCATGGTGGTATTATGAGCTGTGCTAGGGACTCAATAGGACATCAGTCTGGATTCTCCCAAGATACATAAAGAATATAAAAGACCATTCTGTAATCAGTTTGAGGGAGAGAATTTATTCCTTCAAATATTTTTTTCCTCTGCTTCTAGAGGTGTGTTTTCGTGGTGGCATTTTCTTGTGCTGGCATCTCCTCTCTATGAAGCGCTTCTCCATTTTGCTTCATTTTAGCCGTTACACATTCTCCATCTCCATTTTGATCTGAATTCTCTACCTTTTTTTTCTTCCTTTTACCCTTTCTTACCAGGTTGCCACATTAGACCTTCTATCAAGCCACTTTGCTGCTTCCTCCCTAAGAACATTAACTCAAGGTCGACAGTTTTACAAGTTCTAGAGAGAAAAAAAAAAAAAAAGAAATCATCAGGTGTTGGGGTTGTGTACCCATCAGAGCTGTATTTAGGGTGCGATTGCAGTTTCAACATACTTCCTCACATGGATGTTTCTTCTGGAATAAGAGGGCCTAAGGAACTAGTTTGGTTTAGGCTACAAAGATTATCTTAACCCTCAGCCTTGATAAGGTGCTCACTCCACAGCTGAAGAACTGTTCCAGGTCAGCACATCTGGATTGGCCACTTCAGGCAGCTTCCCCTGCAAAAAGGGGAGAAAAAAAGCAACTGATGCCGTTGGGTCATAGGCGCAACGTGATGATCTCAGAGGTCTTTTCCAGCCTGAACAATTCTCTGATTGTGTCCCGTTAGTGTTTAGCTGCTCTGAACTTCTCAGAAGGTCCATCTTTCTCTGCTCTCAGGTGTTGCAGGTGGTGATTAGACACAGGACACAGCTAATAAACACAAAAAAAATGAACAGGGACAGTCTTCCTCTCTTTTGGTTCATCCATCTTTAATAGACCTTCATTTCTCTAGACCACTGAGCCTGAGCCAGTTCCGTTTCTTTCTTTCGGTACCTAAGCCTTCTGCCAGTTGAAGGCTAAACACAAATCATGCCATAGCAATTACGGACTGATCCAGCAACCTGAATACCGACGGGATCAGACTAATCCGTGTGATTAATGATGGTACTCGAGGGAAAAGGCTGCTTCTGTGCAGACAGACAAGGGAATAAAGGCTTTGCGTTGTTCAAAGATGCAGTTGGTGTTTGCTTTCTTGATGGTGCTGATGTCTGGGTGTTAGTTACCACTTTTTACTTCATATGTTATCACCATGTAATAAACATTATGAGACTTTTAACAAAATTATTACAGCAACAAATTTATATTTTACTGTAAAGATAATTCAGTTGCTTAAAAGGGATCAGTTTCTGCTCTAACCTGTTCCAAACAGCTACATTTCACTTCAAAACACACACAGTAAGGTTTCCCTGTGTAAGATATTTAATGCACAGAGTAAACTTTGATTAAGAAATCCTGATGGTAAGATTTATTCTCTTAATAGTTTTAAGGTTTTGGGTTTGTATCCTGGGAAATGATCATGTTTTGAAGATCTTCCTTTGCTGCTGTTTAATTAAACTCTGTGACTTTCAACAGGATAGCCTTAAGAGATAAAGCTACACAGAGTAATTACAAGCATTGCTGTTGATTTCATAATTTTCCAGGCTTCATTATTTCAAGAATATTTACAATTATTTTTTACCCCCAGAGAGAGAGGTTATAGACAAACTTATGGAAAGATAGGTTTATCTTGGTTTATAGTGAAAGGTCTTCTGGATGACAGTCAAGACTAAGTTTTTATACTGAATATGAGATTTGGCTGTAATAAGTTTAAAAAAAGAAATTTTTTTCTTATTTCTGATTCACTCAGGAACTAGTATATGTTACACCAAGAGTGAGAAAGAAGAGGGACTTTACATACAGCTTTTAAATGTAGTTTGTGGTAAATTTGGAATGACTATGTATGAGATTTACTCAAGCTCTCGTATCTTCTTGCTTACCAAAATGCCTACTGACAGTAAACCTTCATTTCCTTCTTGAAAGACCAAACATTTGCCGTGAAAAGTAAGAAAACAAAGGAACGCTCAAACCGAATAATTAAAAGTTGCACTGTATTCATGAGCAATTCATGTCTCCGATTGCTTGTTCTGATTACATCTTTCAGGAAATCTTTAACTAGATTATGCTTGTAAGCTCTTCTTGATTCCTTTTGGTCAATTTTAGCAATAATAATTACGGAAAACTAATAATAAAGAGTAAAATTACTTAGAAAAAAGTATGACTGCGCAGTTTAAGTGGTAGAAGGATCTGAAGTGAGTTTTTGGATATATTGGAGAGGTTTTGTGTGCCTTGAGCAAGTCACTTAATCTATCCCAGTTCTTCATAATGAAGACCACAAATAGATGTTACCATGTTTGCAGTGGTTCAAGGACCACACAGGAGAGACATTAGCTCATGCCTCACAGCAGATGACTTCTGTTCTTTATTAATGAATCATTTAATTCCACCGAATGAAAGCAGAGAAGCATCTCTTTAAAAAAAAGTAAAAATAAATAACCCACAGATGCTACCAATTCAAACTGGACTTGAGCAGTTTGTTTTCGTGGTCATCTGAATTTGCATTTTAAAGTCATTTCTAGTATTTCCATCTTCCTATATAACTGGGTTTTTTAATACTATGTATTCAATCTGTGTTGTTTTCATTCACCACCAGTTAATCATGAATTCCAGTATAGATGGGCCCAGTATTTCCAGAGCAAAGAATCAAAAGGGACAAAATCATTAAAATAGAGCATTAAACATTTGTTTATAAATTATTAAGTTACAGCTTGCTCATTTTAATGTATCTTGTCACAACTACTCCGAAATTATCTCCGTGTCCCAGCTGTTGCTGTGTTAGCCCATCCCGCAGACTAATATGACTTTATGTTTTATAATAGGAAAACCACAAACCAAACCCTCCTCGGAAGCCGCTGCCCGCAGACCCTCTGACTAAAGCGCGCTGCAACGGCGCGGCTGCCGCGGCGCCCGCACACGCCAAAGCTCTGCCTCATGTTACTCCCGTCAGGTTAGTGCTGACTGAAATGCTGTGATTTAGAGCACTCTGTTTAATGACCAGTCTAAACTGTCTTGAGTAACTTCCACTGCCGAGAGCTGCACAACAACCGTTCTTTATTTGCTTCTGTAAAAATTGAGCTATTGGGTTGATTCACATCAGTGCAATTGCAGGGACTTCCACAGAAGTAGAATTTATTCGACGTACAAAGGTCTGACTGTAAGCATCTGACCATGCACTTACACAAACTGCCCAATAAATGCAATCCCTTGCGAAAGAATTTTGAGAGAAACAAAGCTCTTGCAGAAAAAACCACCTCCCTACTCAGACCACCTACAGAATTAGGCTGGGAACTGAATGCTATTAAGACCAACCACCAGTAGAAGCAATTTTCCATTCGCATATTTCACAATGGAACACCAATTTCTCTCATCTAAAAATAACACCAAAAACATTGAGAAAGCAGAGAAATTGTGCACTTCTAAAAGCAGGATGTTGAAAAAAATCATAATCTGGAAGTGAAATAACTATGCCCAGTGTTAATGGGCAGAGCCGATGATATTTTCTTACCCAATACTCTTCAGTTTCCTACAAATAAAAAGTGAGGTCCAAGGAAGATAAAAGTAGTATTTAATCAGCAAAAATTCTACTAGTGAGGCACTTAATGGCTCAGAAGAATTAATAATAGGATCAAGTTAGTTTCCTAACACTTCCAGCAAAAAGACTGCAAGAGTGAACTTTGCTTAAGCTCCTGGCTGTCCAGCCTAGTACAACACTCTGAAAGTAAGAATATTCCAAGGTGGCTACTACAACTTTTTGAGATCAACTGCTATCCTACAACGTGAAGTAGCATTTTTGAACAGGTGCAAAATTGGTGTCCAACCAGCGAAATAAAGAGCAAGACCTGGAACACCAAGGTAGCTTACTCCACTGGCCAGGCAGCAGTTAAAGCATGAAATGGGGGGGAAAAAAAAAAAAAAGAGTCTGCTGGTGCCATTTATGCTTTTTGATGAGACTTGTGTGAACATTAACAGGTCTGATCTCCTCCCGTGCTATGGGTCTGAAGTTAAATTGGATAATTCCAAGAGGTTTTACCTTTCATCTCCCTGCCTCAGGCGTGATGCCGGCAGTCAGAACTAACACAAGTTTAAATAACAATTTGCTTTTTTCTGTCTTTCCCCACAGACCTGCTCCTAAGCACCCACCACAGGTATCCAGGTCCAGCAACACTGCTGATGTGAAATGATGAGAAAATTCGACACCTTTGTTTTAAAAAGTGAAGACAGAAGTTTGCACTATCTTTAAACTCCAGCTGGAGTTCATTTTAATGACAATACTTAGAATTTTTAATGTTTAAAACAGCATTATTTTTAAGAATTCTGAGCTACTGCCTTTGGTGCTGTGCTGTGCTATGGTGCTCTGTATACTTGCTCAGGTACTTGTAAATTATTAATTTATGTTGAATATTTATTACAGTGCAGTGCACTGTAGTAGATATTTTTACCATAGCCGAGTTTTCCTAAAAAGGAAGCCTTTTCTGTAATATTTCATTGAACTTGAATAATTCTGCTCTGTTGGTCCTACGTAGAGTTTTTAGTTTTGATCTGTTCTTTAAGGAATGCTGATACTCATGGATAAATCAAACGTACAACTCAATGGTTCATAACAAACTTTTGAATAAATATGTCAGGGTAAAAAAAATATATATATAAAAAAATCTCTTCTGGAACATGGTGAAATGCCCGACATCTGTACACAGATGTGTAACACCTGTATTTAACCAAAGGATCACTCAGTGCTAGCAGCTGTACTGTAATTCCAGTTTTCACGTTACTGTTAGAAATGATCGGGAAATCTGTGCTGAAGGAAGATGCATTCCCTTTGGACCAAATTCTCTTTCTGAAGAAGTACTGTATATGATAAAACTGTATTTTTCAAGAACTTCATTTTCCTCAGACACAATACAGTTAGTACATACGAATGCAGATATCAGGCCTCTTGGTGTCATTTTTGATGCTTTGGTATTAAGTCCAACTACATGGTGTAAGGTAGCACCATATCTCACTACGTTGCCTACCTGTCCTCTTTAGACTGACAGTACCTTACAGGCAGGGGGTGGGGGGAAGCATTACAAAGAATTGCATTTTAAGAACCAATTATTATACTTATTTCTTTTGCCTCGTTGCTCTGCTTACCAACTGTATTTTGCATATTTACTACTGTTTTGTATTTAACTTCTAAAACGTTGCTCTGGGTTTCGTAATTTTCAAATCAAAATGTGTATTTTAATACATGGACTTTGGTTATCCTAAGACATGGGAAAATAAATCATCTCTTTACTACGTGGTAGCATTACACCCGTTCTCTTCTGTACCTTCCCAGTAGCACTGCTGAATACAGTTGCTTCACCTATGCTGTAATAAAAAGAATTTTTCAAATATTGGTTGAAATAGAGGGAGAAGGAACTATTAGCTTATACAGGTTAGTTTTCTCATTGCTTGTAGTTTTTGTTTCTTTAAGCAAAAATAAAAGCATTGGTAGAATCTTGGATCTCATTTCAATAAGTGTAATTGTATTTAATTTTCCCAGTTATTCCCCATTGTAGCAATACAGCACTCATGTTTATGGATAAGCTAAATAAATCAAAAGAAACCACTCAGTTTGTTGCTGAAGAGCAAAGCAAGTGCTTCACAAAAGCATTTAAATTCTTAAAGAAGCTCTAATAGCAACAACAGTGCTTTATGTACGGAGAATCACTACAACAGTAGGATGCGAACTTATCCTAGGCTCAGCAGGGCAGCTGAAAACAAAATGAAGGTTTCTGTGTATAAATACATATTTTGTATTTAAAACACTAATTTCTTTCCATCAACAGTAGCTTTATATTTTAAATGGGGGCGATGAGGGGAGCATCTCAGTTTGAAGCAGACACGTGATCTCAGTTTGCTTGTTGGATACTCCCATTTTCAGAATGACAAGTCATGCTGAGCTAAAATGTTTCTGGTAACGGCTGAAAATCCTAAGATGAAACTGTGACCAGTGAAAGAAGAAGGTGAAATTAAAGACTGAAAAGTTTGTAGTAGAAGCTCTAACACCTGAATTTAATGGTACCAGCTTAGGTGAGACTTGGCACATGTATCAACTTAAAGCCTTAAAGTTAACTTTAGGTTTAACAGAAAGGTGACCTACCTATGCAGTCTTACAAGTATAGAAATAGAAATACCCATGCAGGGCGCTCAGCCCTAGCTCTGTAATTGCAAGCAGCCATCTCACCAACACGGAGCCCAGAGCAGTCCAAAGACCATCTCTTCTGGGAGCAGAACACACCAAAGCTTGAACGTTCTTTGGGTGATGCTGAGAACCTGCTGGACACGGAGGTGGGTACCTCCTCCCCGCCAGAGAAACAATACACACACTTTTTGACGTGCAGAGGAAGACAGCAGAAGAACGATAATAAAGACGTTGCAAGGTGGTGTCCCCAGTCCCAACATCACGGACTTTTAAGACTGAAATGCCTGCATGGTCTTACTGGTTTGTATCCCTCAAAGAGCCCCATAGCTAGCTCTTAGCGTTTTCCTGAGCTGCCAAACAGCACGAGAACCAACACAGCCTGCCTGCCTCACCCCTGCTGTTGCCAGAGGAAGGCAAAGCCCAGCCATTCATCGTGGACAAGGTGTGAGACGACATCCCTGGCTTCTGGAGCTGAGCAGCAGCAGCCTAAAGGCAATAGGGCATCATTAGCATAATACCTTTTACTGTCTTTACCAATCCATCGAGAGAGAATTTGGGAAGAAATATATTTAAATAAGCTGTGAACTAAGCTGATTGCTACGCAGAAAAGTATATGTCAAATTTATTACCTATTAACACTTATCTAAAACAAGCAGCTGAAGCACATATATCCAGTGATGTGAATTCTGAAAGTTAAGAGTGCATGATCACATGTACGTATTACCTGATAGAGTTACTATCTTATCTTAGACATGGCTAAAGCTAGAGATCTCTAGACATTTGGAAAGAAATCGTAATTTCTTAGCTGAAACAAGGGCAAGCAAACCAGAATATCCTGTAAAAATGACTGCTGTTACTTGAAACCAGCCCAGGGTAGTTACTGGCATGGTACAAGTTGATTCTCTTCATAGCAAAACAGACAAGTAGGTGCAATGCATGTAACAGTCATATAATCCGGAATCCTTCCATTAGCAGATAGGCAAATATATTTATACATATTCAGATGCACAGTAGTACAGGCAGAAAAGGATCTGTAGTTTGGGGGGTGGCGGGCAGAACCAAACAAGCTATCAAATACTTCTTTTGTTTTGGTGCGGTTTTTTTCCCCAGGATGTGAGCAGTAGCTGGCTGTGTCATACGTTTACACCAGGTCCGTGCCTTTATGAGTAGACATGCAGATGTCGTGTAAAATGCCTTTGGGAAAACCAGATTAATGGGTTTACATTATAAGGACAGTGTGAACAAACAAATTACCACGGGATACACTGGGATGTGAAATTCTGGATTTGCTAGTGTGTGCTACCTCTATGCCCAGCACTAACTTCAAAAATCACCTGTAATAATAATAACATACATCGTCCTTTAAGTTCTTGGGGTTTTGCAGTGTTTGGTTTGTCCTCACAGGAGAGACCTTCTAAACAGACCATGCTCTGCCCTTCCTTCTTTTTCCCACACATATTTCAGCTCCCTCCCTGCTCAGCATGAGCCTCTGCCACAGACCAGTCCCTTTTCAAAGACAAGGCAGGAACACGACGCGCTCTGCCTAAAGCCCTGCGCAACAATGCTGCTATTATGCTGCTCCCTAGAACAGTACGTAAGAAACACTGCCCAGGAAAATGAATAAATGACCAGCCAACAAAAGGAAAATTGCATATTTACCCTCTCACCATTAAATCTTTTGGGGTTATTTTCCTAGATTATTTTTTTTAAAAGCTATTAATTATCAGAGTAGCAAGTTGTTTGGTTTGGCTTTTTTTTCCTTTATTTCATGGAATATTTTGAGAGCCTTTTCCAAAGTTCCGAGAAGAAACACACATAGCTGTTTTTCTTAGTTTCACTTCTGGTATCTTCAGATTTTTTGAGTGTGTATTATTAATTCTCTTTTATTAACTTCCAATCACATAACAGTATTTTTTAATACAGCTATAAATTACCATGTAACAGTAAGCAAATTCATTGGTTATCTTACAAGCATTCTCTAAAACATAATTTTCTAAACTCAGTAATGCCAGAACTTATTCTGCATACAGACCATCCTTCCAGATAACTATACCACACGTCACCAAAATTTTAAGGTGCCTCATACATTACAAAGTGTTTCCTATGTTTGTAAACAGTGGTGAAGAAAAAGTCAAACTATCCTCAACATGAAACATGTGTTAAGGGAAAAGGGCATCTTCCTCCATGTATGTTTTCACTGCTTCAAGCTCACGTATCCAAAACATAAACTTCCCTGACCAGCCCGTTCCCACCTTCGACAACCCTTTCAGTAAAGAGGTCTAACCTAAACCTCCTCTGGTGTAACTTGAAGCCATTTCCTCTCGTCCTATTAGTTGTAACTTGTGAGAAGAGACCAACACATCCACCTCTTACAACCTCCTTTCAGGGAGTTGAGAAAAATTTTAAAAAAATTTTTAAAAAGCCATTAGCTGCGTTGGCTGTCCTGCAGACTGAAACCCCAGAGAGAACTGGGCATGGAAAGAACATATAGTAGAGACAAAGAATAAACCATGACTACCTTAAAGCAGAAAAATCTCAGGGAGCAGCCTTCGACCTGCAGAAGTGGCTCACCTGCTTCTCCATGGGCCAGAATCAGCTTTGGGCAAATACACGGCACCATTCACTTCGCAAGATTTTAAGTTTCTGGCGCTGACTGGCCTCGCATCAGCTGCATTTCAGCTGGGTGTGAGCATGCCAGCAATTTTCAAAAGCTTCCAACTCTCCGCCCTGCAGATTTTGGCAAATTTGCGAGAGCAGGGGAATCCCTACCTGCAGACCCTCTGCACTGCAGAAAATGTAAGCAATACGTACATAGTAGTGCTTTTGTTTTATGTTATTTATTTGTGAATTACCCTGTGGGGAAAGAGATAAATATCTGATTATGCTATATCTTAGATTATTTGGAGGAAAGGACTGTACTTTTTTTTTAAAAAGAAAATAATCTGATTTTGCATTTTTCAATGCTGAACTTTGCAATCTTGATGTTCCTTGATATAAAATCATCTAAGACTAAAC